AGACCTCGCCCCCAATTGGCGCCATTTCATGCCGCACCCTGCTTCATGCGGTTGTTGGTCCGTGGGATGAATCTCTGTACAGCTTCTGTCATCCCGCGCTCTCTTCCTCCTCCTCCTCCGAATCAGACAGCTCTGAGGACGATACGTCCCCGGAGGTCTCTTCCTCGAGTGCACTTGCTGCCTCGACCCCATGGCCGAAGCACTGTTTACATGCACGGTGATACTCAGCCGTGCTGGGAGTCTCCTCTCCCAGCACCTCGAACGTGGCGTAGTGCACCCCAGGCTGCCTATGGCATTCGCCTATCTTGTGGAGCGTCCTCGTCTTTGACCGCCCCACAATCGACACCACAAACATGCCCGTGATCCTGTCCACAGGCATGATCTCTTTCCTCTCCGTCTCTACGCCCTCCAAGTCATTCTCACCCTCTGCCTCCACCATGGGCTCGACCTTGATCTCCACGATATCAGCCGTCTCCTCGACGAGCACCACCGGGCCCGTCGTCGTCCAGTTTGGTTTCCTGCATGGTTTTGCCACATCGTCTCCCGGCATGAACGTCATAAGTCTCATGGACTGCTCATCTAACTCCTCTTGCCCATAGCCCAGGTCTTGCATTCTCTGTTCCGCCAACTGCACCACCATCGTCTCGTCGAAGGGGTCCGAGTTCGCCAGGTTCTCTTTGATGTACACTGCTAACACCTTCTGGCAACGGAGGACATTCGTTCTCACATTCCTCTCGTACCCTTCGTCGGCTGATGGTTTCCAGCGGCCGATCATCTTCCGCGCATCTTCCGGGATCCTCGCGGCTTGCGCCCATGTGCGGATTGTGGACCGCTCGCTATGCTCTGTCCAAATCACACCCACGCCAGGCTTGAGGACCAGCTGCCGTTGATCCCCCTTGCCCTGCGTGATCTCATTGAACAATGCTTGTGACATAGTCGATGCAATCGAATAGTCCACCATCTTCCGAATGAATCCATTCCTGTTCGCATTCGGCCACGGCAACATGAAGTCTCTGCCTAGAAGACCGGCCTCGGATCCCATTGCCGTCCAAAGTTTCCATCCCACTGCCAGCCAACGGCTTTCACAAAGCCATGCATCCTTGTGGACATAGAAAGGGAGCAGGACTATTCGCTTCCCTGGCCCCGAAGTCTTCGATCGGTTGATGACCCCTTTCAAGCCCCAGTCGAACATCTCCATGGTCCGATTCGGAGCACCTTTTGTGTCGTCAAACCTCATCCCCGTCCATAGTTTGATCAGCCTGAACCATGCGTAGATCCGCGGGTATCGCGGTGCCTCCTCATTCACGACATGTGTCTCCCATGCCATGATCACAGCCACTGGCAGCAACACCGCCTTGCGGGTCTCCTTCATGGTCGCGTTCTGCAGCCTATGCGCCGCCTCCTCCAAGGCGTTCTTCACCGCAGGCGACCTGTATAGCTGATCTTGCTCAGGAACTTCTCCCGCGTGCTCCAGGAACATGAGCGTCTTGTAGATGGACTCTGGGAAGCTCCTGGCGCATGGCTCTTCTACCATAGCTTCCAGGAACTCTGCAAACTGCGATGCTGTCTTCGGCCATTCGCAGTCGTGCACCACCTTCAACCATCTAGAGGCTTTTGCCCAAGTTTTGACATGCTTGCGCAGCGTGTTCGGACGCCTTCCTTTTGCCACACGGATCAGAAGCGCATCCTCGCTTGAACGCAATGCCACTGGTAGCCGAGCTCGCTTCATGATATTTCTGATCTCGCCCAACCACCGATCTCTCTCCTGCTTCTCGGCGAGCTCTCGCATCGCCACATCCGTGGAAGCAATGTGCAGCTTTAGTCCAAGCCGCGTAGGCCACCTGCTTCTCTTGGCTGTTCCCACGGGCTGCACCTTCGACTTCACATCTTCCGCCACGTAGTCGCCAAAGATCTTCTGTCTCACTTGACGTTGATGTGCCACGTGGGCTTCCAGCAAGTCTTGTCCACCTCTCTTCGCGTCTAGCTGGTGTCTTGTATGGGCTCTCGTAGCGGCACGCCTAACCATGTCCTGCAGCGAGTCCAACTCCACCTTGAAGTGCTCGTCTCGCTGCTGCAGGCGCCAGACCACTGCCTTCAGCAGATCTCTCCCGCCACCATCTAAGGTGGCCAGGCGTGTTACGCTCCAGCCACCCGCCTCCATGGCACTGATCAAACTTCCGACCAGTGCCATCTCGTCACGGTCGTCCATGGCGGCGTGAGCTAGATCCCTACACCCTGAACGAATGCGGGATGCTCGAGCCGCATCTCGTCGATCGTTTCGTGACAAACCGTGTCTTACAGACAACTAGTCATATTTCTTCTACGTAAGTGAAGGGGCCTCTTCTTTTAGCATCTGCGAGAACGGCGGGTGGAGGTGGATGCGCAAGTAATTACTTATTTACGACGACTGATTGGATAAAATTGGACAATGACTGGCATGACTGGAGCATTTACCTGAAGCATGACTGTATGTGAAAAACATAATCTTTAAACATACACACACACAACTGCTGCTGCATGTGGTGCGCCTGTGCAACACATCGTCAAGATGATGCAACAAAAAAAGCAAAAGACTTTGCATTGCACCAGTTGATACACACGTGCAAAATTTGGTTGAGAAGACTGTGATGGCATGCCAAAGGTGGCCAGTTGATTTTCGAGAGTCAATCCAGGGACAAGATGCACAAGTCACACATGGTGTTGTGAAAGCAGCCTTTGTTTTGACGTTTGCAAAAACTGCCTTTCTTCATTTGATTTTGGGATCTTCAATAACACCATTTCCCATCCCATCCCCACTTGAATTTCCAGAATGCATTGCAGTTTGTGATTCTCTTCGGCTGCCTCGTCAAAGCCTCTCCGTTCTGTTTTGGTCGGTTTAACTTGATTGTTCTTCAATCCTGTGGTTGTACTTCCTCAGGGTTGCATTGCTGGAGGAATCGTTTTGTTCAATTCATTGAATTCATTGTTTTTGGTTTGGAGGTGGAGCAGGTTGAGAGTTTGACTCATGGACACTGCTTGTACATAAGGTCCGAGTCCATGTGTCTTGCACAAACAAAGCAAAGCTTGGCATCGCTCGTGGTCTCACACGTAGTGTAACATAGTGAGTTCAAACTCATGGGAGAGAACTTGAGAGGGGGGAAACAAAAACCAGTGGAAGTTTACGCGTGAGCCGGACGCACGGCGGTGTACTCACCTCGGGTCATGGGACAATGGCGCTGGGTCTTGCTACTGTTCAAAGGCAAAGTTCAACACGCCTTGTGTTTTTGGAAATCCCTTTTGGTCACCCTGAGACCTGGGTCAGGCTTCGAGCCGCCCCCGCTTGGTCGTCATGCAGTCTTTACACCTCAAAGGTGGGGCAGTTCTTGAGCTAAAACACCGACGGTAAATCTCAGTACCGTTGGTGCTGGTGCTTTTTGGAAACCACGTTCGGTCACCTCTACTAAGACTTCAAACTCCAAAGCTCCATAGACGAACCTCCTCGGTCTCTACGGAGATTTCAGTACTACTGATACCTTTTTGGAATGTTGTTGGTCACCAGAATCAGGCTTAGCGTCCAAAAGCTCCGTAGACTCCCGTAGACGAAGCCCCTTGGTTGTCAAATCCATTAAAATATAGTTTTTTCCGATTTTCCTAAAGAAACCCGTTGCTGCTGGTGACCCCAACTTGCTGATGCAAGTGATGCCGACACAGGTTCTTCTTGCATCTTCAGAATGGTCCGCTACACGCGTCTCAACGGTCCCAACCCACGACGCAAACTATATAGTTATTTTGTTAAGCACATGCCACACGCATCTTGCTCCACCAACCTGGGGTATTTTATGCTGCCTGTGCAAGGACAAGGGCACTGGGATTGGAAGAGTGCAGGGCGGGGACCATATTCAACCGCATAAACTACCGCAGCCAGGATTAAATAGCTAAGTAGTTAGAAATTCGTAGTTGGTAGTTAATTTGCTATAGTAGGCAATGGAAAGCAAAAAGTAATATAATAGTCGTAGAGGTAGAAGTAGTAGTAGTAGTAGTAGAAGAACCAGTACAAGCAGAAGTAGAAGTAGTACGAGTAGCAATAGTAGTGGTGGTAGCAGTCGTCGTAGCAGTAGAAGTAGAAGTAGAAGTAGGAGTAGGGGTAGGAGTAGAATCAGGAGTAGTAGTAGTAGAAGTAGTAGTAGTTGTTGTAGTAGTGGTTGAAACAGTCGTAGTATGTAGTAGTAGTGGTACTAGTAGTGGTGGTAGTAGTAGTAGCAGCAGTAGTAGTAGTGGTGGTGGTAGTAGTATTGGAGGTAGTAGTAGTAGTAGTAGCAGTAGTAGTAGTAGTAGTAGCACAAGTAGAAGTAGAAGTAGTAGTACTAGTAGTAGTAGTAGTAGTAGTAGTAGCAGGAGTAGTAGTAGTAGTATTGGAGTAGTAGTAGTAGTAGTAGTAGTAGTAGTAGTAGTAATAGTGGAGTAGTAGTATTGGATTAGTAGTAGTAGTAGTAGTAGTAGCGGCAGTGGTAGTGGTAGTGGTAGTGGTAGCAGTAGTAGTAGTAGTAGTAGTAGTAGTATTGGAAGTAGTAGTAGTAGTAGTAGTGGAGTAGTAGTAGTAGTAGTAGTAGTAGTAGAACCAGTACTAGTACTAGTAGTAGTAGTAGTAGTCGTGGTGGTGGTGGTGGTTGTAGTCGTGGTTGTAGTAGTGGAAGTAGTAGTGGAAGTAGTAGGTAGTAGTAGTAGCAGTAGTAGTAGTAGTCGTAGTGGTAGTGGTAGTCCTAGTGGTAGTCCTAGTGGTAATGGTAGCGGTAGTGGTAGTGGTAGCAACGGTGGTAGTAGTGGTGGTAGTAGTAGTTGTTGTAGTAGCAGCAGTAGCGGTAGTGGTAGTGGTAAGCAGGCTACTCTGACTATGATTTGGTACTGCCCCCCCACACCGCCGAATTCTTGTTCGCATATAGTATATAGAAACAAACTTCAGCCTAGCCGCCTAGCCTATCGGCTTGCTTCGTAATTACAGTAGTTCGGTTTGACTGTTTGGCCTCGTTTTTGACAAAGTCTCGAAGGCGCTGCAAAGTGCAACTTCGCAAAAGGGTCACCTGCCAGAAGCCAGTCTATACACATAGCTTGCCTGTAGAACAAACACTCTCTGACTGACAAAACAAACACTCTCTCTGTCTGCCATAGTGATGTCTGTGGCTCCAACCTGCTGCTTCCGGCTTCTGAATGCAAAGCTCCGTTCCTGAATGAAGAGCCAATCTTGGCTCAGCGCTTCCCAGATATTCTGAGGTGGCTCTTCCAACTGCAAGGCCAGGCTTTCACAGTGCTCATGAAACCTAGGAACCAAGGTCACAAGGAGTTGAGCTTGTCAAGCAATACCAAGCAAGCATGTGCGCTAAACATCAACACTGTCTCATTGCTGTGATCATTATGGGCCTAGATGCTCTCTCTCTGTCAGGACTGACAGGATATGGTGACATGCATGATCCAAGAATCGGTCAATGCTTTTCAAAGCCACCTCTGGAGCCCGTTCAGTTTGCACCAAGAAAATCAAAGATATGTGAGTGACACGCGTTCGCATAAAGCTTGACACTACGTAGCCCAGCTGCTGTCGCGTTCGCAATTCATTGTAAAACATGGACTTCCAAATCTGCATTAACAGCGCTGCCAAAGCTTCATTCTCAGGTGTGGATGTTGCAATGTTGCAAAGGCTCTCCACTGAGCAGCTGTTCCGATCTTCAGAATTCTTGCCGTCCAGCTGCACGATAGTCAGAAGATCACGGCCAAGTCTTGAGCGAGGCAAAAGCATTTCCACAGGAGACGGAACATTGCATAATCTGTCGCAGGGCTCCAAGACGGCCTCCTGGTGCCAAACATCTCTCCAAGGACCCAAGGTTGCATTCAACAGCTGGATTGCGTCAGCCCAGTCCAAGTTTCCCACGATTAGGCCCTCCACCAAGCATCTTCCAGAGCCGAAGAATCTTTGGAACAAATCCGAGAAGCACATGCCCTCTTCTTCAAGAGCTGAAGTGGCCTGTGTCAAGAACCACAAAATATCATCAATAGCAACGGTATATTAAACCTCCATGGAAAACCACGTTGCGCAGCGCTTGCCTGGATCAGGTCCGAAAGTGCTGGACGTTGAAATAACAACTCCTCCAAGCCATTCAGAGCCTGTCAGCTGTTTGAAGCAACATCACATCTTACAGCGTACTGCTCACTGGTCCGGTTAGAAGGTAAGGAAGGCACAGAAGGTGCCACAATAGCAGTAGAGTCGAGAAAAAGGAGGGGCAAACTGGGACTGACACATTATTGGCACAAATCATGTGCAAACATCACTTACTTATTATGTATGAATGCATTTTGTGTTCCTTTCAAAATTAATCAATTAGGATGTTTAGGTGTGTTCGTTCAGAGTTAGCATGTCCTTTATCGTGTTGCCGCAGTTTGAACACACATGGTGTAGGTTAGAGTTCGCATTGACTTCCAAGGACATCCAAGGACATATGACATATTGCATATGCATATGGCATATGACAGTAGGATACAGTAGGGGTAATTATCAATTTTCAGGCCTTGGAAAACACCAAATCACAGTCCTGGATGGAAGGCAATGATGATGACTTGGATAACGACTCATATACACATAACAAATATACATAAAGAACAAACACAAATACAATGAAGCATGCATTGCCGTCTTCGACAACACCTTCCCAAACAAGAAGGGTCGTCTTGCATCTAGAGACCGCCAAGCCAAACTCCAGCCTGATTGTAAGCTTGTCCACGACTTGAATTTTTCAAGCTTCGCTCCTCCAAGTCAGACTCGGTGAACACACCCAGCTTGAAACGTGCTTGGAGAGTTATTTCATGTTATTTCAAGCAAATGCTACTGCTGCACGTGCTGGTTGTTTCGATAACATGAAGGTCATAATCGGTCATAAGATTTCCACCAAACAACCGCTGAGGCCCACCTGCTGATCTCTGAGGTATCTCCAACTTGGGCTTCGACGGCTTGAGCTTAGTGTCTCTGAAATTCTCCTTGCGAGCACCGGCAATGTATCCCTGAAGCCGAAGACCTGCAAAACGAATCCCGAAAATTCTCCAACTTCCAATTGGTATGTTGCACCAGCTGCTTTTAGTTGGAATGCCTCAGCCTTCAACTCCTGCTGAACCAATTTGCAGTACAAGTGAGCCAGCGCAACTTGTTTCGGGGTTGACATCTCAGAAGAGTACAAAGAGAAGGCAGCTGCAGCTTTAGGCTGATCCACCTTTGATTGCTTAAACCAGGCTCGGCAGCTATCCTCCGCTACCTCCATCTCAATTGGCACATCTTCCTGAGGAACATACCGCATGGATAAATCTGCTGGAAGATAGGTGTTCCTCGGGGGGAAGCGATACTTTTGCTGTTCAGCAATCTGCGCCCATTCATCGGTCTCCACGTCTGTCCATTTGGTCTTCCAATCATCCTTGATGGAGTCCTCCTTGAGGAAACGACCCCCATACCACGGCTCCGTTGAGGTACAAAAAGCATCAAAGTCTTTCGAAATCAAAGACAGCCGAGCATGGTTTACTGTTGTGAGCTTCAACACAGATTGAGATCCTTCGGCGTCGAGCCTGTATATTAAATGGTCTGCTGCCAGCACTTCTTCAGCTGGATAGTAATGCAAGTTGCAAGCGAGGTCTTGAACGAAATCGAACGGGGATGAGTTGGAAATGTCCGGATAGTGAAAGCTCAACTGTTGAAGCTCCTGGATTTCTTCCAAAACTGCTCTCTGCACTCCCTTTGCACGAAGCATTGAAATGTAAGCGAAGATCAAGCAACCGACTTCCATCACAGTTGTGTCTTTGGTGTCCACGAGGTCAACAGAGAACTCGAGAGTGGAAGCAACTCCGTGATAGTCAAAGCAAGTAGTAGTTTGATTGTGGGAAAGGCCAGCACGTGAAAGGGCAGCTCTCAAACTTCCGTCCCCTTCTTGTTCTAGCAAGTATTTAATGTATGCTGTAGGTTTCGACCTCCAATGTGCGACCTGCCATGGCAGGAGCCAGCACAGCTTGAGTTGGTGTACTTCTTTGACGGGGACAATCCAGATCTGACGACCTCAAACAGATTGGCAACAGACTCAAAATACCAACACCACATTACAAGCAAATCATGAAGGCTTGTCACTAAAGCTAGACACTTAGACATAATGTAATATATGTATTTGTAATATATAAGTTCACCCAAGTGAAAACTTTTGCCTGTTGTCACTTGAAGCAAGGCTGCAGAAATCTTCTTTCAGAAAAGAAGGTTCACCTCCGCCAAGACTGTCACCCATTAGGTAGCTTAAGCCAGGATCCTTTGTGCCCGAAGAAGGAACACAGGAAAAGTATTTTCGAACCCATGATGCGAGCTCTTGTGTGGCTTCACTGCCCACAACTGCCAGCGACATTCGTTCTGACTTATAGTTGGAAGAATGGAAGCTCTCGAGCGAACGGTGCAAATCTGGCAGATTTGGATTCTGCAAAGACTTTGAGCAACCAGATGTCCAGTGATACGGATGCCTTGGGTTTGCATCCAAGAGCAGGATGGCCCATTGACGACGAAAATCGTTTGTTGCGTTCATGCTGTGCTCTGCGTCAATCGCCTGTAATTCTTGCTGCTGATATGATCGACTGAATATGGGTGATGCAAAGAATCTGGCAAAGCGACTCAAGGCCCCTTCAAGCTTGCTTGATTGAACCTCAAAGGCATAGCATGTCTGTAAGACTGTGGTGACAGCATTGTGTCTGCCTCCAGATTGCTTGATGTACTCTGCAAAGTTAGCATCGCCGTAACAAGGCTGAATGGTCCCATGCAGCAGCATGTGTTCACAAAAGTGTGCCAGGCCAGGTCTGTCTTTAGGCTCATGGATGCTGCCGGCCAAAACAGCCAATGCGGCAGCTGCTGGCGTGGACCTATTGGGATCACTGGCCACGACAACTTGGATTCCATTTGGCAGCTCAAAGGACAAGTAGCTGCGGCCCCTTCGACAATCAGTTGTCGGCTGATGAATGTTGGACATGTGGCTGCAGGCTATATAATCTTTGGCTTGAGCCTCTGATGCTGCAGCCTGCAGGAACCTCCAGTTTGGAGAAGAGTCTCTGAGATGAAATTGACAGGAGGGAACCGAAGCGTGTATGAATACTCACAAGCCTTGTTTCAGAAAAATTGTTTAACATGTTGGCGAGAGGGAACCTCAAAACAGCCATCCCCTATGAATTGTACACAGGAGCGGACAAGGCAAACATCACTGAGATGCCTTGAATAAATCACCGGCAGCAATAGCTAATCATCTAATCAAAAGTAGCCAGAAAACAACCAAAAAAAGAAAATCAGTGCAAACAGGTTCCTGTCGATATCTTTAAATTAAAGCAATCGCTAACTACTGGAACAAGCTCACAGTGTCACAGAGGTTCACCTTGTTCGCGGCCCTTCACCTGGAAATTGCTTGCCCTGTCCACTCCGCAAATCTCGCTGTCATTTTCTGAATTCGTTTAAAGTAATTATGCATTTCAACGTCACTTGTAGACCAATATTGCATAGCATCTCTTGGTTTGCACCTTCAGTCTTCCCACACTTGTTGTTCCGAAGACAAGGTCCGCAAAACAAACTTGAAGACGAAGATATTGACTGTGGACTCTGAAAAGGCCGTCGGTCACATACAGCTGAGAAACCTTCAACTTTGTATCTTCGTGCAGAGTAGGCCCGAGTAGGCCAGTCAGGGGGGTCCCCTCCACTGTAACATTGGAGGAATCCCAAATCGAACAGGAAACTACAAGTAGCGCTCTGAACCATCTAGATGCTTTGGCCGGGAATGCATACGCTGTCAGCGAGTTCAAAAGGATGTCCAAGGACTGTATCAGCTGCTCGGCTGCTCGATCTCAACTCAAAGCATTCCGAAATCAATGTCAATGTCTTGGAAGCTACCATCGCAATAAATGCTGTCCCTTCTTTGCCAATGTTGTCTTTGTGCGCTTGCCATCGGACTCCAGAACCAGATGATGGAGAGCCTATCTTGCATCAAACCGAATGAGAACTAATAAAGTATTCACCGTCATGGTTCTTGTGGGCAATGCCAATGGACTGAACTCGTCCACGGTTAGTTAGTGATTTCTTCAGTGTCTTGATATGTCATCACTGCCCCCGAGATAACATGAACATTATATTTCAGAGATGCATCATCACAGACGCCTCGGATCCCATTAGTCGCTTCAACTTCCCCACAAGCACAGAGTCTGCGCGCACACCTCGCCAGCACCAGCACAAAAGGCAGAACACAACGTGTTGCATGCAAATATTGACGTTCAATGGGACTCTCACATTCATTGACATTGTAGTCTACCAAACTAGCTTGCCTTTCAGTTGCATGCGCTGAAGGAGGCCCAAAACCTCATCCCAAGCATTTGTCCGCAGACAGGCCTCAAAAGGGGGATCATTGGATCCTCTATGACTCCTGGGTCTCAATCAATCCTCTGAAAGCAAAACATTGCTAAAGACTGAGTTAGACTAAAGGCAGCGAAATCACAACATGACAAGTTTCCAGCCTCGATGGCGCATGTATAAGACAGAACGTTTGGCGAGTGCTGAGCATCTGCCATGATATTCAGCCATTCAATGGCTTCTCGATGCTTTGAGGCTTTCGAAAAGGCATGAATGATGTTGGTGTACCTTGCCAGATCGAGAAACACCAAAACAGGAAGATCGGCAATAAGTGTGCAACACTACTAATAACAAGTGCATCGCTACTAGACAAATGCATCCCCATTAGTAGCAAGAAGCTACTAGTAACAAGGGCATCACACGCTATTAGAAGCAAGAAGCTACTAGTAACAAGGGCATCGCTACTAGTAAAAAGTGCATCGCTATTTGCAGGAAGAAACTACTAGTAACAAGGCCACCGCCACTAAAAACAAACGCATCGCTACTAGCAGCAAGAAGCTACTAGTAACGAGGGCATCGTTACTAGTACCAAGTGCATCGCTATTTGTAGCAAGAAGCTACTAGTAACAAGGGCATCACTACTAGTAACAAGTGCATCACTATTAGTAGAAAGAAGCTATCACCAACAAGTGCATCATCATTAGTAGCAAGAACCTACTAGTAACAAGGGCATCCCTACTAGTAAGAAGTGCATCGCTACTACTAGCAAAAAACAACTAGTAACAATGGCTCGCTACTAGTAACAAATGCATCGCTATTAGTAGCAAGAAGCTACTAGTAACCAGGGCATTGCTACTAGTAAGAAGTGCATCGCTACTAGTAGCAAGAAGCTACCAGTAACAAGGGCATCACTACTAGTAACATTCATAGGTATTAGTAGCAAGAAGCTACTAGCAACAAGGGCATCGCTATTGGTAGCAAGAAGCTACTGATAACAAGGGCATCGCATCTGGAAACAAGTGCAACGGTTTTAGTAGCAAGAAGCTACTAGTAACAAGGGCATCGCTACTAGTAACAAGTGCGTCACTATTAGTAGCAAGAAGCTACTAGTATCAAAGGCATCGCTGCTAGTAACAAGGGCATCGCTTTTAGTAACAAGGGTATCGCTACTAGCAACAAATGCATCGCCAATAGTAGCAAGAAGCAGGTAGTAACAAGGGCATCGCTACTGGGAACAAGAGCATCGCTATTAGGAGCAAGAAGCTACTAGTAACAAGAGTCTCGCTACTAGTAACAAGGGCATCGCTACTAGCAACAATTGCATGGCTATTAGCAGCAAGAAGCTACTAGTAACAAGTGCGTGGCTATCAGTAATAAGAGCATCGCTATACAATATATCAGTAGCAAGAAGCTACTGGAAACAAGGGCGTCTCTACTAGTAACAAGTGCATGGCTATCAGTAGCAAGAGAGCTTCGCTACTAGTAACAAGTGCATCGCTTTTAGTAGCAAGAAGCTACTCGTAACAAGGGTATCGATACTAGTAACGACAAGTGCATCGGTATTAGTAGCAAGAAGCTACTAGTAACAAGCGCATCGCTTTTTGTAGCAAGAAGCTACTAGTGACAAGGGCATCTCTACTAGCAACAAGCTCCTCGCTGTTAGTAGCAGGAAGCTACTAGTAACAAGCACGTCGCTATTAGTAGGAAGGCCATCGCTACTAGTAACAAATGCATTGCTATTAGCAGCAAGAAGGTAGTAGTAACAAGGGCATTGCATGCTACTAGTAACAAGTCCTTCGCTATGTAGCAAGGACATCGCTACTAGTAACAAGCGCATCGCTATTAGTAGCAAGGAAGCAATATACACTAGTAACAAGGGCACCCCTACCAGTAACAAGTGCGTCGCTACTAGTAGCAAGAAGCTAATAGTAACAAGCACATCGCTACTAGTAGCTAAAAGAACTAGTAACAAGGGCATCGCTACTAGTAACAAGTGCGTCGCTAGTAGTAGCTAGAAGCTATTAGTAGAAAGGGCAACTATCAGTAGCAAGAAGCTACTAGTAACAAGGGCAGCGATACCAGTAAGAAGTGCATCGCTATTAGTAGCAAGAAGCTGATATCAAGGCATCGCTACTAGTAACAAGTGCACCGCTATTAGCAAGAAGCTACAAGTAACAAAGGGAATGCTACTAGTAACAAGCGCATCGCTATTAGTAACAAAACGCTGCTAGTAACAAGGGCATCACTAGTAACAAGTGCATCGATATTAGTAGCTTAAAGCTATACTGACTAGTAACGAATGTGTCGCTACTAAAAGCCATAATATTTTAGTACCAAGGGCATCGCTACTAGGAACAAGTGCATCACTAATAGTAGCCAAAAGCAAGGGAGTAGCATGTGCATCGCTGAAAGTAGCAAGAAAACAAGGGCAACGCTTCTAGTAACAAGTGCGTCGCTATTAGAAGCAAGAAGCTACTAGTTACAAGGGGATCGCTACTAGTAACAAGTGCATTGCTATTCGTAGCGACAAGCTACTACTAAGGGCCTCGCTGCTAGTAACAAGTACATCGCTATTAGTAGCCAGAAGGTACTAGCAACAGGGGAATCGCTACTAGTAACAAGTGCATCGCTATTAGTAGCGACAAGCTACTAGTACTACTAAGGGCCTCGCTGCTAGTAACAAGTGCATCCCTATTAGTAGTACTAGTAACAGGGGTATCGCTGCTAGTAACAAGTGCGTCGCTATTAGTATCAAGAATC